TGCTATCACAGCGAATGCGAGGCTGAGACTGAAGCGTTACCCTTTGTTTCCGCTGAGAGACGTGCTGCATGACTCATTTCCCCGCGCGTACAAGTTATCTTAGGTCGGTGTTCACGGTTTGACTTCTGAGATTCAGATCGAGTTATAGGTAATTTTTTTTTCGAATTGGTTGGTTCGACTTTTAAGAAATTCGAGTTCTAATGAGTTCGAGAACTGAGGTACCACTGTACAACTGGATGCAATATACAAAAACTCCAAGATATTTTGTAAAATACGGGAGTATCTTCCTATATGGGCAGCACAGTAAAATGAAAATCACTGCATTGCATACTCAATAAATCAGTAAGAGGGCTGTGTGTCATCACGCCAAAAATGACTCCAAATAAGCCACAAAGTATCTGATCATCCCTCCACTGCTGAACCCCCTCATTCATGGCCTCAAGCTGAAGCAGATTTGTTTGAGTGTCTGGAGGCTGCTCAGCAGGAAAGTCAGTGTTCTGACATTCCAGATTCCAGAATGTTCTTCTTCTCAGTGAACAAGACAGTCCAGGGTGTAAACATTGTGTTTGCTTGATCTTTTATATATAATTGTGACAATTTCAAAATGAGTCATATTTAAGCATGACAGGCAATAGCATATAAGATATCCATCCATCCATCCATCCATTATCTACAGCTTATCCGAAGTCAGGTCGTGGGGGCAGCAGTCTCAGCAGGGAAACCCAGACTTCCCTTTCCCCAGCCACTTCATTCAGATCCTCTGGGGGAATCCCGAGGCGTTCCCAGGCCAGCCGAGAGACAAAGTCCATCCAGCATGTCCTGGGTCTTCCCCGGGGCCTCCTCCCAGTGGGACATGCCCGGAACACCTCACCATGGAGTCGTCCAGGAGACACCCTAAGCAGATACCCAAGCCATGTCATCTGGCTCCTCTCAATGCGGAGGAGCAGCAGCTCTACTCTGAGTCCCTCCCGAATGACCGAGCTCCTCACCCCATCTCTAAGGGGGAGCCCAGCCACCCTCCGGAGGAAACTCATTTCGGCCGCTCGCACTCGCGATCTTGTTCTTTCAGTCATTACCCATAGCTCATGACCGTAGGTGAGGGTAGGAACGTAGATCGACTGGTAAATCGAGAGCTTTGCTTTTTGGCTCAGCTCCTTCTTCACCATGACAGGCCGATGCAGCGCCTGCATCACTGCGGACGCCGCATGCGCCTGTTGATCTCCCGCTCCATCCTTCCCTCACTCGTGAACAAGACCCCGAGATACTTAAACTCCTCCACTTGGGGGATGACCCCCTCCCCAATCCAGCCATAGCATTCCACCCTTTTCCGGCTGGAACATGCAAACCCCTCCACCACCATAAGGTGTCGGCTCCAGGAGAGGCATACAAGATATATTGTTGTAATATTGGTGTGAACATCAGATGTTTTTTGGCAGAAGCTTATGTTGCTTTTCTGATGATGAGCATTCTGACTGCTCAGGAACAAACAGTGAAATACCGCCCCCTTGTGTTCACCATAAAAACAGCAATGCACACCACAGTCTATAGCAGGGGTGTCAAACTCCAGCACTGGGGGGCCGCAGCCCTACAGTATGTCGCTTAGTTCTTTCCCTGTTCCATCACAAATGATTCAGCTCAACCGCTATGTGGCAATTAGCACAAGAAGTTGAATCAGGTGTGTTAAACGAGGGGAAACCCAAAAATGTGCAGGGGTCTGGCCCTCCAGGACTGGAGTCTGACACCTGTGGTCTATAGTGATGAGAGTAATAATCAACGTTCATGTCTGCTGCTTCCTGTGGGGGGCTATAATGCAGCTGTTGTTTGCTGCCTCCAATAAGAGGATAATCATTGGTCACAAGACTCTCACTTCACCTGCTGGGACACAGTCTATCCCCACCCTCTGTCATCCATCATCTGCAGCCACTTGTCCTATTCAGGGTTGCAGGGAGTCTGGAGCCTATGGGCACAAAGCAGGGTACCAACCCATCACAGGGCACACTTACATACCATTCACTCACACATACTCACCTATGGGCAATTTAGTAACTCCAATTAACCTCAGCATGTTTTTGGACTGGGAGGGAAACAGAGTATCTGGAGGAAACCCATGATGACATGGGGAGAACATACAAACTCCACACATATGGAGCCGTGGCAGAGACTTAAACCCTGGTCTCAGAGATATGAGGCAACAGTGCTACCCACTGTGCCTCCCCATCCACACCTGGCTCATCACTTTATGCATGTGTCATGCCGCCAGGCTCCTTCTACAGCTAAATTTGGGCCTGTAGCTTCAGTACCATTAGCATATTTAGCATAAAACTGCCTGCCCTTATCCTGTAACATAAAGCCCCTGCTTCATACTCAGAACACTGTAATCCTTATCTTCTTACAAGTCGTACTGTTTTTCTGTGTAACTCCTTTTGGCCAAGTCATAATCATATGTTTATTAAAATGAGGAATTGTGGTCTGTAGCGAAGACTAAACAATTTAATTCAATTTATTTTTATATAGCGCAGTCGTCCCAAGGCACTTCACATGGATGTGTTGTGATACATTAAACATCATTAGAGAGAGTAATACAAACTGACAAAAGGAAGGAAAGAAATTAGATGACAATGGAGGAGAGGAACCAAAAACTCCCAAGTAAGGAGAGAAAAAAACCTCTAGGCATCCAAGGTCAACTGGCTGCCCAATCCCCCTTGGCATACTAACATTACTGAAAACAGAAAAGAGAAATGAGTCCATTATCCACATTGGCCTGTGTAGGGTGGCCAAAGTCCATCTATCTGTTTTCCACACTGGTCTGTATAGGGAGGCACCGAAGGCTGCACCCACGATGATACAATTCGTAGGTCCCATTCGCGATGTCACCCCTCCATGGGACTGAACCTGGACTCCATCTCATCTGGACTTGTGGGAAGACAGAGAGCATTGATGGTCAGAAAATGCGTTGACACATTATTGGAGAAGCATAGTAGATAAAATACATGTATAGCAGCACCAGCAGCCATAGTTACGGTGTGTTATGTAGGCTGGTAAACCATTCCATAACATACTGTAGGGTGTCACAACTCACTGGTACGGAATGCGGAAAGAGCAGCAGGAGTCCAGGGAGTCAGGGGAACGTAGGATTTATTCAAAGTATGAAACACTCAGGCTCACAAGACAACAGAAGGACTCACGAAATATACACTGACACGCACTTGAATACACCCAACTAATTAAACACAACTAGAAACAGCTGATAACAAGAGGATTCCACATGAGGTAAACAAGGGGGCGTGGCACACGGAAGGATCAGAACAGTCAGGGCATGACTTAGGGGCCCTATAGCAGAATGCTTTACCGCCCACTGTCACTTTATTTATATGTGGAACGACAAGGAAACCCGCTTTCTGTGATCTGAGAGTTGGGTCAAAGGTCTTGCCAACCAGAGGAGAAGGGGAGATGGTGGTGTGGTCCAATTGGAGGGTAATCGGCCTGATTTTGTTGAGTGTGGATTTTGTTCCAAAGACAATTCTGTCTTATCACTGTTGAGTTTTAGAAAATTTTGGCTCATCCATTATTTGATTTCAAAAACATGTGATTCAATGCATGCAAGTGGCAAGTTGTTTTTGGAGCTAGTATTGAAGTAGGTCTGTGTGTCATCGGCATAGAGATGGAAAATTAGATTAAAGCAGCGAATGATCTGGCCTAAGGGTTGAATATAAATGATGAAGAGCAGTTGCCCCAGGACAGAGCCCTGGGAGACGCCACGTGTGATAACTGATGTGTCTGATTTATGAACTAATAGGGTAATGAAATGTTTTCTGTCAGTGAGATATGAGATGAACAGGTCAAGAGCTGCCCCACAAACTCCTAAGTTTGTACTAGAATAAGGTGAGAGACTGTATCGAAGGCCGCTCTTAAGTCAAGCAGAAGTAGAAGGCTTTTGGCACCAGTGTTAGTAGTAACAAACAGGCCATTTAAGACTAAAGCAGTTTCTGTGCTGTGGAATTGGTGGAAACCGGACTTAAGTGGTTCAAGGAGTCTTTCATTTTGAAGATAAGTAAGAAGCTGGGAAGAGACTACATGATCCAATGTTCTTGAAAAGAAAGGAAGATTAGAAATCAAGCAGTAGTTGACAAGGTTAATTGGGTCAAGACCAGGCTTTTTAAGGATGGGGTGACAGCCGCTACTTTGTAGTAGGCAGTAGGAACATGACCATGGGCAAGAGATAGATTAAAGGGTGGTGAGGAAGGGACTGGGTGGCAGGCAAACGGACATCACTAAAAATACATAAAATTCTAATTATTCTTTTAAGTCCAAGTCAACTGCATGACTTCATCTTCTCCAAATTGGACACTAGAGGGCCTCATGTCTGTAGGGACAGAGATGACACAGCAAATCTCGATGGTCAACAGCACAGTCTGGGAGTATAAAAAGGCCAGCACAGTGGATGAATGTCTTTATTTGATTGAGGATCAAGAATATTTTTGTCACGTACAAAAGCTGGCGGATAGGTTGCACATAGACTGATTTTCTAGGTAATTGCGTTGTCCTTAATGTTTTTCCTTCGGAAACTTTGGTTTCTTCAATCTACTGTTTATTGTGATTGAATGCACGAGGCATTAAAAGGCACAAAATCCAATGATGTGTGCCCAGTCTTATTATCCTGAGGGTTAGTACATTTATGATGTTTTATGGCAATAGAATCATATCTTAAAAAGTAAGACAGGTTTTATTCTGTTTCTCTATTGAGTGTCAAAAATGGAAAATTCTTCTACTGAAATGATTTTTTTCCTCAGTGGTTTGAATGACACAAGACGAAACAAATTGATTTATTTTTTCTGTTCCTTTTTCATCTACTTGTTCACAATTTTTGTGAATATGACTCTGGTTGTGACTGTTATGCTGGACAGAGTTCTGCATGAGCCCATGTACATCTTCCTGTGTAATCTGTGTCTCAATGGAATTTATGGTGCTACAGGTTTCTACCCCAAGATTCTGCTGGACCTCCTATCAGATTCACATATTATCTCATACAATGCATGTATAACTCAAATTTTTGTGGTCTATTCTTATATTCTATGTGAGCAGGCCAATCTGACAGTGATGGCTTATGACAGGTATGTCGCAATATGTAAACCCCTGGAGTATCATTCCATTATGACCCCGGGGAAGGTGAGGAAATTACTCCTGGTACCCTGGCTGTTATCTTTTGTTGAGATTTTAATTTCAGTTCTTCTAATCATCAGGCTACCTTTGTGTGGATCCAAGATAAAAAGGCTTTATTGTTCAAACTGGGATGTGCTGAAGCTCTCCTGTGTAGATACCAGTGTTATTCATCTATGTGGATATGTAATGGTTGGTACTCATTCGATCCAAGCACTATTGATTGTATTCTCCTACTTCCACATCATCAAGACATGTGTGCGATCGATAGCAGAACAGAACAAGTTCATGGAGACCTGCCTGCCCCATCTGATCACTCTGGTCAATTTCTCATTGTCTGCTGTATCTGATGCAGTTGTTGCATGGTTTTTTTCCAACGGAAGTCTGCAGGCTCTCAGTAATGTCCTCTCTATAGAGTACCTCGTGACTCCTCCCCTGTTGAACCCCCTCATTTATGGCCTCAAGCTGAAACAGATTCGTCAGAGTGTCTGGAGGCTGCTCAGCAGGAAAATTAATGCCCTGACATAGACTGCAGAAATATCATCCTCTCAATAAACAATATGCTGACAGTCTGTGAAAAATTTCTTTGATTGACAACAATTTCCAAATTAATCATATTTATAAATAAGGAAGATGTTTATCGATTTTGAGGCTCCGCCACTGATGTCAACCTCAAATGCCTTTGGCAGAAATTCAGTTGCTGTGGCTTTGCTGGTGATCAGCCTTCTCACTGCTTACACCTCAGATTTACACAGAGACAGCACACACTGCAAACTGCAGTGATGAAATCGTTAAACAACACGGGCCTACTGCTTCCTGAGGTGGTTGTCTCCACTTAGACACACATCATTGGTCAGCATCATAGTCACATGACTCTCACCTTACCTGCTGGGATGTGGAGGTTTATCGGTCCCTCCCAGTGTGACCCATCAATTTATGTGTGTGTCATGCTGTCATGTGCACCACCAGTGGGACATGAAGGGTTCCCCTCCAGGGGACACCTTTTTTCATCATCACTAGTTCACAGAAAGCCTAATATTTTTGAGGCGGCACACACTCTAAGGAGTTTAAGAACCAGTGCTCTATGGCAGTGTGGGGGCCTGTAGCTGCAGTAACATTAGCATTCTATGCATAAGAATGTGCGCCCTGGTCTTTCAACACAAAGCCCCTGCTTCATACTCAGAACAGTGTAATACTTATGCTGATCGTCTTTCCTGTCTTGCTGTTTTTCTGGGTAACTCCTCTTTGCAGAGTCATAAAGATGTGTCTATTCAACTGTGGTATTGTGGTCTGCAGCAAACACTAAACAAACAGAAACAAACTCTATGAGATACTATATTTCCTTCACTTTAGACAGGGGGGGGGGCAGAATGTTTTGTACAGGGGAGCTAATGCATTTGGGTGGGGTACTTTTCAGTGAGTAGCAGTAATTGTACTATTGCATAAATGATGTACTATTGCATAAATGGTACCTTTAAAGGTAGTCTAATCAATCAATCGTTTCATTTACATTAAAATGCTTAAGGAGCTCAATCCGCCCGTTGCTGTGGTTGACTGCAAATGAGTCTATTATTCGACTGACCTCAGGATTATTTGTTTGCCAGGAGTTTAAGGAAATGAGTCTCAGGTTGCTTTTTCTCTTGTTCTCATGTAGATTTTTAAGGCACCATTAAACATCGTAAAACAATTAAGGTGTTATTGTTGATTCGTGAACTTGCAAGGTGAGCACACGTCTGGTCACATGACATGCTCATAATGACCACGTCATTTCTGCATTTTTTAAACAGATGAAATATACATTTACATGCACAGTCGTCCACTTAATCCAATAACTTTGGTGATGTTACAATATTTTAAGATATTTTACGATGTACTGCTTTAGCCCCCCCCCCAGCCCAGAACCCCCATGGTGCAGCCCTGGCTCTAGGAGCCTATTGTACCAAGAATTTCAAGGAAAATTCTCCCAGATCGTTCATCTCCCTATGTAACAGTCATTTGCATTTAATGTTCTTTGAACTGTTAATCCTGTTTACTGTTTTTCCGCCATCTAGTGGTGAATTACAGACGGAATGATTATTGTGGTTTAAGGTTCCGCCCGACCCCTTTTCTTGCTTGCGCTCATGCTGTCCGCACAGCGTTGCTGCAGATTGACGCCACTGAAAGGAAAGAGAAATAAAAGTTAAAAAAACAGAAGAAATAAACAAAGCAATGTTGAGAAGAAACTACAGCCATAAGAAATATTTAGCCTCTCATGGACGTCAGCTCACGAGGTTTGCGGACTTTAATATTTTATTTGTGATCAATGTATTGTTTCAAATGTATGAGAAAGGTGAAGGAACTTGTTTTAATGCGAAGTTTCTTTGTTTTCTTTGTGAGCAGTTCTCACGGGTTGTTCAGACCAGAATAAACCCCGTCTTTGACTCTATCTCGTGCCTCCGTCATTCCAGTGAGGGTGCTACACCCTACGAAACTTAAACCGAATAATCTCCTTTGGGAGTGTCACAGAACAGATCGGGAACAGATTTTTGTTTAGACATTAGAAATGATCTCAAAATAAAAAAAAAAAAATGGATTCATTAGGTTCAATCTTCACAAGTCACCAAAAAACAAACAAAACATGAGCCGCTGAAGCACTTGACACCACACTAAGGTGTTATGAAACTCTCTGGCCTCCCTACATCTGTACATGGAGGGGGGGGTGAACGAGCCCAGACTGAGGCACAGCTGTCTGCCTGCAATGGCTGTCTGTGGCCTTCCTGGCTCCCTGCCTGGCTCCACCCCCTCACCATGTGAGACCTACAAGATTAAAATAACAGATTCTGGTGTTAGATGTGAAACTGAATACCTATGAAGAGGCATAAGACAGACTTTTATATTGAATCTGTGTAAAAAAAAAAAAAAAAAAAGAATCTGTGTAAAAGTTGAATGTCTGGCCAGGATTCGGGCCTCCAGCACCTGAAAAGCCAGGTTCATGACCTCTGCAGGCTCCTTCCTGAAGATACGTCCCTCTGCCCATCCACCACATCAGCCAAATAGCCATGTGATTACAAACTCTCATCACTCAAATTACATGAAATCCTAATTATTCCTTTTAAATTCCCAGTCAACTGCACATGAAGTTTAATCTTACCAAAGTATGACTTCATCTTCTCACAAATTGGACGCTAGAGGACCTCATGTCTGTAGGGACAGAGATGACACAGCAGATCTCGATGGCCAACAGCACAGTCTAGGAGCATAAAAAGGCCAGCACAGAGGTTAGAATCCTACTTTGGATGAAAATGAATAATGTATATCATTAGGCATATTAAAACCCTGTTGGACAGGCTGCTCATAGATTGTCTTTCTAAGTAATCACATTATATTCAAGCATTTAATGTTTTCACTTCAGGATATTTTTGTGTCTTTTTTTATAGTAGATCAATGTTGTTATTGGATGCTCAACTAGTTAAAGATACAAACTCCGAGGAATTGTGTCTGACCTGATCCTGAGGGGTTTGTTATATTTATGCTTCATGACAAAAGAATCATATTTTAAAAAGTAAGACCTGTCTTATTCTGATTATCTTTTGAGCTCAACAATGGAAAATTCTACTCGTGAAGTTGTTTTTTCCCTCAATGGATTGAACGACACAAGAACAAACAAACTGATTTATTTTTCCTGTTCATTTCTCATCTACCTTTTCACAATTTTTGTGAATATGACTCTGGTTGTGACTGTCATGCTGGACAGAATTTTGCATGAGCCCATGTACATCTTCCTGTGTAATCTGTGTGTCAATGGGATTTATGGTGCTACAAGTTTTTACCCCAAGATTCTACTGGACCTCTTATTAGAATCTCACGTTATCTCATACAGCGCATGTGTAACTCAAATATTCATAGTCCATTCGTATGTGTTATGTGAACTGTCCAATCTGACAGTAATGGCCTTTGACAGGTATGTTGCAATATGTAAACCCCTGCAGTATCACCCTATTATGACCCCTGGAAATGTGGGGAAAATATTGCTTCTGCCCTGGCTGTTATCCTTTGCTGAGATTTTAATTGGAGTTCTTCTAATGCTTAGGCTGACTTTGTGTGGATCTAAGATAAACAAGCTTTATTGCACAAACTGGGATGTGGTGAAGCTCTCCTGTACAGATACCAGTATTAATAATTTCTATGGATATGGAATACTTATTACTCATTTCGTCCAAGTAGTGCTGATTGTAATCTCCTACTTCCACATCATCAGGGCATGTGTGCGATCGCAAGCAGAACAGAGCAAGTTCATGGAGACCTGCCTGCCCCATCTGATCACTCTGGCCATCTATGGTCTATCTGCTGCATTTGATGTCTTATATGCACGTTATGAGTCCAGCAGCAGCCTGCAGGGTCTCCGTAACTTCTTCTCCATAGAGTATCTGATCATCCCTCCCCTGCTGAACCCCCTCATTTATGGCCTCAAGCTGAAGCAGATTCATCGGAGCGTCTGGAGGCTTTTCAGCAGGAAAGTCAGTGCGCTGACATAAATTCCAGAATGTTCTTCCTCCCAATAAACAAAAACGGTGACAGACTGTATTTTTTTTTCATTAACCCTTAAGGTGTAACTAGTGATTACAAAATGAGTCATATTGAAGCATGACAGGAGCTCTGTGCTAAATGTGAGGTTCTAACGCTGATGAGAACCTCAAATGCATTTGGCAGAAATTCAGCTGCTGCCTTTTTGCTGGTGATGATCAGCCTTCTCACAGCTCAGGCTTTAATAGAGAAGCTGCGCCCCCTTGTGTCCCTCACAGATATATTGCACACCACAGTCTGTAGCAATGAGAGTAATAATCAATGCTGATGTCTACTGCTTCCTGTGGGGGACTATAACGCAGCTGTCACCTGCTGCCTCCAATAAGAGGCTAATCATAGGTCACATGACTCTCACTCCACCTACTGGGATACGGAGGTGTAGTCCATCCCACCCTGACCCATCACTTTATGCATGTGTCATGCTGCCAGGCTTGTTGTACAGCCATGTCTGCACCTGTAGCTCCAGTACCATTAGCATATTTAGCATTAAACTGCCCACCCTTGTCCAGTAACATAAATCCCCTTCTTCATACTCAGAACACTGTAACCCTTATTCTCTTCTTCTTTCCTGTCATTGTTTTTCTGGATAACTCCTCTTTGCCACGTCATAATCATGTCTCTATTATAAGGAGGAATTGTGATTTGTACCAATGACTAAACAAAAACACAAACAAACCCTATGAGGTCTTATATCTCCTTCACCTCTACGACCCAACAGTGCATAGAATAGCTAAATCATTACGCTTATTCTGGAAATTGAAGGAAAATTCCCCCAAACTGGTAATCACCCTATGAAAACTTTCACCAAATAAACTGCTTTGGGCAGCAGGCATCTCAAATCTAAGAGCTGCAAGCCTAATTTGGGCACTTTTCAATGCTGAATAATTTCCCCAATACAAAATACATCTACAAAATACATTTCAATCCAGAGAAGCTAAGAAACCCTCACATTACACAGTAGCTGTCTGTCTCCTCTCAGCCTCATATGTCAGAAGGTGAGGGAACCAATGATTTTTTTACAGATCATTTTTCTACACGTTTTCATTTTTAATGTATTTTTGTGGATCTGGAAGTATTCGTCTTTGTTTAAAAAACTAATTCAAAGATTTTATCAGTTTTCGTAAATACGTGTAAAATGTACCTTAGAAATTTAAAAACAACCAATAAAAATGAAGCATCAGCCTCTCACTCTCCACAAGCTACCAAAAAACAAACACAAAATGCGCCATTGTAGCACATGACACCACACTGACATGTTATGAAACCCTCTGGTCTCCCTACATCTGTACATGGAGGGGCGAACAAGCCCAGACTGAGGCACAGCTGTCTGCCTGCAGTGACTCTCTGTGGCCTTTCTGGCTCCCTGACTGGCTCCTCCCCCTCATCATGTGACCGACTTGTGTCTCTTTCAGGGGCACCAGCTGTTTTTTCACCAGTGACTATTTTCCAAATAATTGTTCCGGAACAATCCATTGTACTTGTCAGCAGGTTAATCAGCTAAATTCTCCTTTATGGCTTCATATAAATTTTGTAGTTTTTGGTTGGAGTTGATGTATAATTAGATCCACTGACAAAAGAGATGTGGGAACTGTTAGAAAATTAGATTAAATGGATCCTGTTGTTAAATGTGAAACTGGATACAGAGATATAGGAGTAACACAGATTTTATTTTCCAACTATTCAGTGGGTGAATCACTCTCCAGGTTCTGGACCTCCAGCATCTAAAAAGTCAGGTTCCTGACCTCTGCAGGCCCCTGCTTGAAGATACATCCCTCAACCCATCCACCACATATAGCCATGTATTTACAACCTGTCATCACTCAAAATACATAAAATCCTAATTATTCCTTTTAAATTTCCAGTCAGCTGCACATGAAGTTTATTCTTACCAAAGTATGACTTCATCTTCGCACAAATTGGACACTAGAGGACCTCATGTCTGTAGGGACAGAGATGACACAGCAGATCTCGATGGCCAACAGCACAGTCTGGGAGCATAAAAAGAGCAGCACAGAGATTAAACATCTACTTTTGGGTGGGGATCGAGGATGAATTTCATTAGGCACCTTCAGAGCCTGGTGGGCATTTTGCACATATGTTGTCTTTCAAAATAATCACATTATATTCAAGTCTTTAATATTTTCACATCTGACTATATTTTTTTCTGAAATCTGTCATTGATTGTATAGTTTGATCCTTGTTATTGCTGATTTGATCAAAGCTGGGTGCATGAAGATTTAAAAGCACAGAGATGCTGTGATGTGTGCCTCACCTTCTATTCCAGAGTCAAAATATTTGTGATGTTTCTTGCCAAAAAGAGGAGTAAATGTAAAAAGAATAACTGTATTTTTGTGTGTTTTTGTCGAGTGCCTAATATGGAAAACACATCTACTGAAATGATTTTTTTCCTCAGTGGTTTGAATGACACAAGACAAAACAAACTGATTTATTTTTTCTGTTCCTTCTTCATCTACTTGTTCACAATTTTTGTGAATTTGACTCTGGTTGTGACTGTCATGTTTAACAGAGTTCTGCATGAGCCCATGTACATCTTCCTGTGTAATCTGTGTGTCAATGGGATTTATGGTGCTACAAGTTTCTACCCCAAATTTCTACTGGACCTCTTATCAGAATCTCACATTATCTCATACAGCGCTTGTGTAACTCAGATATTCTTAGTCCATTCGTATATGTTATGTGAACTGTCCAATCTAACAGTAATGGCTTATGACAGGTATGTTGCGATATGTAAACCACTGTGGTATCACCCTATTATGACCCCGGGGAAGGTGGGGAAATTGCTGCTGGCACCCTGGCTGTTATCCTTTATGGAGATTTTAATTGGAGTTCTTCTAATAGTCAGGCTGACTTTGTGTGGATCTAAGATAAACAAGCTTTATTGCACAAACTGGGATGTGGTGAAGCTCTCTTGTACAGACACCAGTATGAATAATTTCTATGGATATGGAATACTAATTACTCATTTAACCCAAGCACTGCTGATTGTAATCTCCTACTTCCACATCATCAGGATATGTGTGCGATCAAAAGCAGAACAGAACAAGTTCATGGAGACCTGCCTGCCCCATCTGATCACTCTGGGCAGCTTCACTCTTTCTGTTGTATTTGATGTCTTGTACGCACGCTATGGAACAAGCAGCAGCATGCAGGGTCTCCGTAGCTTCTTCTCCATAGAGTATCTGATCATACCTCCCCTGCTGAACCCCCTCATTTACGGTCTGAAGCTGAAGCAGATTCGTCTGAGTGTCTGGAGGCTGCTCAGCAGGAAAGTCAGTGTGCTGACATAGATTCCAGAATGTTCTTCCTCTCAATGGTTTGTTTGAGTAACCTTTTATGTGTAACCATGACAATTTCAAAATGAGCAACATTTAAGCAAATTTAGGGTTCTGACACTGAATTTGTTAGTATTTAAGTATTCTAGTCTTTTTTTGATATGCTCTGTTTATTCTATTTAAATGTATATTGTATGTTGTGCTGGGTTGGAGATAATACAAAACTTCTTTGTTTTCAGTGACAGTAAAGATGTCTATGTCTCTCAGGTAAACATTAAATACATTTGTTGTAAATCTGCTGTTGCTTTACTGATGAATATCAGTCTCATCACAGCTAAAAATGCAAAGAAAATGCAAAGAAAGCCTAATGGGGGCATTTTTTCTGCTGAATGATTTTCCCCCAATGAAAAGGCGTTAGGGGCGGCATGGGGGTACCATGGTGAGTCACCTCCCACCTCCTGAGATCAGGGTTCGAGTCTCCCCCTCGGCTCTGTGTGTGGACTTTGCATGTTCTCCCCATGTCGTCGTGGGGTTTCCTCCCTCAGCACAAAAATAAGCTAAGGTGACATGGAGCTGCCAGATTGTCTATAGGTGTGAATGGTGTGACACCCTGCGGTGGGTTGGTGATGAAATTATTCCCTGCCTTGTACCTGTTATGTCCAGGATAGACTGTTACCATGCATGGAAGCTGCTGGTATGGAAAATGAAAGAATAAATATGTATCATTTCATTCAGGCTGGATGTGTGGCTGCACAGGTACC